GTGGGGGGGGGGGGGGGCAATGCCTAGTAGTTAATCTGCAGGGAGACCCGGCCTGTGGGTGACGGGCACCGCGCAGAGCCCCTTAGAGGCACTGGACTAGGACCAGTGCTCCAGACTGGCACGCCGTGCCCAGTGCACGTAGGCAGCTGGGGGGAAGCGGTGCCTTGGATGTATGCGCTGATCGTGTGCCGTACCATAACCTTCCAAAGTGACCCTAAAACATCACCCCTTGGGGAGAGGGAGTTCAAGTCCCTGGTCATGCGATACTAGGCTAGATTAGGGACCATCCCTTTAAAGGGTCAGATACCTTAATTGACAGGGTTTTGAGACTCTGGGAGCGTGGGCGGTTGGGTGACCCTGCTATTTCCATGCCCACCAGTGTCCAGCCTCCTCCCCCACTATGGCCAGTAGCCCAGCATAGCGCGCTCAGCCTGGGATAGTGCATCTCCAGCCTCCCTTGGCCCTGGAGCTCTGAAGAGCCAGTGGGTGCCACATGGCGCTGCAGGGGCCTGCCTGCTACAACTCCAGGCACCTCAACAGCATCTGAGGAAGTGGGTCTGGCCCACGAAAGCTCATCATCTAATAAACCATCTTGTTAATCTTTAAAGTGCTACATTGTCCTGCATTTTGCCTCAACAGCAGGCAGGGAGAGGAAGCCTGAGGGACTCTGGTAGAGCATGGGCGGGGCCAGATGAAACTGTTTGCAAAGGATTGCCTTCCCCTACCTATGGCACCTGCCTCCCATGTCCAGGAGTGTCCTGAAAAGCTAACAAAGCCAAATTAGGACATTTTAGGCTGCTAAAAGTCTGGCGGCATAGCAGGGCTAAGGCAGGCTCCCTGCTTGCTCTAGGTCCCTGCCATTCCTGTGTATTTAGCTTGTAGAATGATTGTAGAGAAGAATTGGAACTTAACTTCATTCACAAGTTGAATTTTCATGCCTACTGTTTGAATTAGGATATCCAATGGGTCCCAAATTATCAGCCAACCAAACAATGAAGGTGCTAATGGTTCTTGACATCTGTTTAGAATCTGGTGTTGGTCATCTTCCTTTCCCAGTGCTAACTAATGGTTCTTATCAGCCTCTTATAACTACTCAGTCTTTAAGATGCTACTAAACTGTTTTTTAAGTTTTTCCTGTTACAGACTCACTCTACCCCTCTGAAGCTTATCTACTCACTGTCTTTTTTTCTTCCTCCCCTTCATTTTTTTCCCCTCTCCCTCCCGCCTCCCTCCTTCCCTTATTTATCATTGGATCTGGACTTCCAACACTCTGGTCACCTGAAGAAGTGGGTTGTACCTGTAAAAGCTCATGATACCAGCTACATATTTTGTTAGTCTTTGAATTGCTACCAGACAATTTGTTATTTTTTAAGTTTTTCTCTTTATATTATTATTATTATCCGGCTTAGAATCAGTGATAGCATTTTAATTTTTTTTAAAAATTCCATGTTATATTTCATATGTAGTGTCCTATACAGCATTCCTTACTCAAGCAAAACTCCCTTTTACCTTGATTCAGCTCTCATTTATACTGGTGTATAAATGACTAATACCATGTAATCAAATTGAGTTATATGGGTGTAAAAGCATTGTGAGACCAGAATCAGGCCCATTGACTTCCCTGAGAATTTTTCAGAAAATGTAAAGATTGCCCTGCAGAGGTCAAAAGCTTGAGCATATTCCATCTCTTGAGGAACTCCATTAGCTGGTAGCAAGCTGCTTTCATTTTCAGTAAATCAATCACTAGAGTGGATATCAGGGTGTGTTAAGAACATTCACACAATACACACCACCACCAAAAATGCAGACAGCTTTATGGTAAAACCGTCCACTAATAAGCACACTACACACAATCCAACAGTACGGGGTGGAGGGGCACTTGATCATGTCCTTTTCCTTTCAAAGGAAGCCATGTACTTTTATAGGCAGGCATCTTTTAGAATGCAGGATAAAGGCTTTTACACAGTAATGTGCACAGAGCTAAGTTTATTTTCACTGGAAAGACAAAGGGCTGACACAGCCTGGCTGAAAGTTGAACCCAGGGCTTTCAGGTTTTCAAAAACTCTAAAATGTAGCTCATTACACCATCTTTCCTTACTGGATGTCTTTGCTAATGTTTGCCCCAGAGATAAATGTTACAGCCCTGATGTGAACTCTCCAGAATGGGGTTTCTGATGGGAATGTGGTTGCAGTTCTAATTATCACAGTGCCTAGCTGTGCGTGACACACAGTGGAGAGCAAAGCTTGGAGTTGGTTCAAATCCACAGTGTGAAGACAATAGGTGGTTTTTAGTCAGAAGCCAAAGTACACTTCCTCACTGTGCAACACTAAAGATACCACATGCTGTAATACAGAGAGCCAGTGCTAGCCAACACATGCATCTTTGAAAGAGGTGGTACACATCCACTGCTCAAAACAGCAAATAATTTACTTTTGAATGATGTATTTATTTAGGAAATTTTAACAAGTTTACAAATCATTGTCATGTAAATATGAGAAGTGAAACAATCAGGACAATAGTTAGCTTTGGCTTACAGAGACATTATACAGAAACATAGATCTTTTTATTTGACAGGGTGTTACTAAATTACAGGGTAAGCGTCATTGTACTATCTGTGGTTTCTAGTGATTAACAGCAATGACATTGATGATTCTTACCAACAACAACCACAGGACATACCACACTAATACCAACCCTTGTACCTTCCCTTGCAACAAACCCCGTTGCCAGCTTTGTCCACATATTCACTCTGCTGATACCATTATTGGACCTAACCAAGTGAGTTATAAGATCAAGAACACATATTCCTGCTCATCCAGAAATATAATTTATGCTATCATGTGCCGAAAGTGTCCGTCTGCTATGTATATTGGACAAACGTCTCAGACACTTCGCCAAAGAATCAATGCCCACAAAACAGATATTAGACAGGATCACAAAGAAAAAACAGTTTCTTGCCATTTCAACCAGAAAGGACATTGTCTCAACGACTTGATTACCTGCATCCTGCTTCAAAGACCTTTTAAGACCACACTTGAAAGAGAATCCTCTGAACTGACATTCATGCTTAAATTTGACACTTTACGCCTAAGTTTAAACAAAGATATTAATTATCTTACCCATTACAAAGATAGCTTCCCCAATTATCACCTCTAATATCATTAGCTCACAGACATTTACCTTCCCCCCCATCCCCCTTCTGTTCTGAAATTTGATTTGTCCTTTTCATGTGTTCACCTTTTTTTTTTAATTGTATCTTTTGGTATATATGGTTGTGACAATTTTTTTCCACTGTTTGATCTGAGGAAGTGGGTCTGGCCCACGAAA